TTTATTTACCCTCCCCTTGGCTAGTGCACCATGTTGCTGGTGGGCGGGCTTAATATCATGCTTTATTGTTGGAGACGGTAGGCTGCGGCTAATGCTGCGATAAAATGGCGCCATTGGCAGGCGATGGGGATTACTAAGCTTCCCCACTCTGATGAACCACTGCATGAGAGAACCAAAGATCTAATCTAGCAGTGATAGTATCACACTTGTTACTCCGCTGTTTGAGAGCCGCGTTGTACTACGTATAGGCACTGACGTTGGGTGCGATACTGGCGGGGTTTTCCGCAAATCACTCTTATTTTATTAATTTTTACGCAGATAGATTTATTTGGGTTTGCAGGGGAATTATGCTATTGAAATATTTCATAAAGTGTCCAACAGTGCTCCTTCTATTTGCGTGACAAGCTTTCATTGTTGTTTACATTGAAGCATTACTCAGGGAACAATGTTAAACACCATTTTTGTACATGGTATTGTAACTAATCTTATATGTGCTTCATTTTGATTTGGGATAAGTGTTTGAACTATAGCTCGGGATTTCCACTGTGGCGTGCTTCAGTTGTGACATACCCATACGTATTTTTGTGGTGCGACATAGTGGAGGCGTGTGAGCATAGTTGGAGCATATACACTATGGGGCTTATTACGGATGTCATTTCACGGTGAAAACTTGTCACTTGTCGTCACGGTGAAGTGATTCCCATTTGATTAGTACGGCAATCACGGCTCTTATTCTGAGTATCACTTCCTTATCACCGTGTAGTGACACCCGTAATAAGGCCCTATATAATTTAAAAATCAGCAAGGAAACTAACTGCAAAGTGAAGCATTTTAGTCACTTGAAGGTGTCACTTAGGTCGAACTAGGTCAAAGTCAAAAGTACTTGAAACACGTTTAATTTTAGATTACAAGCACAAGCAGCTACGTAATAAAGCATGGGTTATGATTGATTAGGTGAATTAGAGATTTCAATTTATTAAATTAGACTATTGAGATATCATAATCATCAAAAGAACTTAAATCAGAAAATTCATAAAGTCTAATAACATAAAGTAGATTAACAAAATAATTAGGATGCGGGGGTCCGCTTAGGGATGCAACGAACAACTTTAAATTGTAGAATAAATCTTCCTATTTAGTCTTGAACTTCAATAAGAAAACTCAAGCAGACCAATAGCATTAAACAGATTAACAAGGAGAGGAATTGTTTAGGAAATAAGTAAAATAATACAATTAATAACTTTTAATCTTTTGTAGGTACATATTGTTTTCCCGCGAGTTTATTGTACTGTATGTACTCGATTACTATATTATTCTCTCAATACGCGAAATCTCTGATATATGCGGTTAAAGCATTTGAGTTAACTTATTTCTTTTTGTTCAAGTACTTACGTTTGTAAACAGCAGTCAATGTTAATCTATGAACTAAACCCTTCGTGACTGTAAAATCGATCTTCCTTATGTGGTATTGATGAATGTTTAACTTTTCGCGGCTGTCGGATTCAACGCGCCATCGTCTACGGAGCTTACGCAGAAGTGATTTTTTGAGCTTATGTAGTTTAGAATTTGTTCTGTACGGTTGCGAAATTTTAAAATGATTGATAAGCGTGGAAAAATAATTAATTTGAAACAAAGCTCAATAGTAAAATAAGTAACCCTTTAAGTGATAATAAGCTGTTTTTTTTCGGAATTCGTGTGGTTTTCGTAACTTACATAGTTTAGATATTTCGTTCGAAACGGATTTACTTATTCAATCGGATTACTACGCGGATGTATCTACGCGCACACGTCACAGCACTTTTTCCATAACTATCTTGAAACAATACACACGGAATCCAGTGTTCAAGCTGCCAACGTAGGCTAGTCCTTCTGCTGTATTGTCAAAGATAGAAGCAAAATTTATTCAAATGGGAAAACTAAGCTGTCACGCAGCTCCAGCTTGATACCCAATAACAAAAAAAAATACCCTCTTTATTTGAAATATTTGCATGCTTCAAAATGTGGCATAGATGCACGCTTTTTTTTTCATGAAAGCAATGCTTGTCAGTGGGAGGTGAATAGTACATACAATTGGGTTGGTCAAGTTTGTAAGGCTGATTACAATCCAGGGTTCCTATCGGCTCTTTCGAAGTGTATCAGCAATCAAGGAGATTAAGGTGAATCGCTGTGGAAGATTTATTTCTGATTTATCTTATTTACACCTCGCAATTTCAAGAACAAAAAAAAAACCGGCTCTCACGAAACATACAACAAGGAAACTGCTGTGCAGCAAACTGGGAGTTTCAACTGTATGAGCTGTATCGCAACAGTGTCGTAGATTTTTCCTCAAGAAAAATTGAAGTGCTAGGGCATATTAGCCATCATGTCGGCCATTTTTGAACCCTTCAATGAATCACCTTAATAAAAGTACAACCTAATTGGTTGGTGGGCTAACAGTAACTAACTCAAGACCAACAATTGAAATGGCCTTAACTCCATTTGTTAAACAAACCTTGTAAGGCCATTTTCTCGCGAACTTTCTATCCGCGTATCCTTCAAGGTTACCTCTTCCTCCCAGTCGCAGCTTTAGCTCAGCAGTACCCTTCAAATACCGCAGTACTGGTTTCGCTTTCGTCCAGTCACGTTCGGTTGGTTCGCTGACTTTGCGCCTAAGGATGACCACCGTGATCGCAAGATCGGGCCGTGTGCAAACAGCAACGTAGAGCAACGTTCCCACAAGGCTTTGGTATTTGTCGATGGTCAACATTCCCACCTCCTTTTGATCTATGGTGATGCACCCGGGGTCCATCGGAATTGGTGACGATTTTGCTTTCCACCCTTCGTTACCAGCTTGCGCACCGAGATCAGATTCGACTCCAGATTCGGTACAAACAGGATACCTATCTGGCCAAGTAACATAGCAAGCTTTAAAGAGGTTTTATAGCACTCTACAAGCCTAAATCATGGTCTACATAACCGTCATAAAATCAAGATTGTTATTTGGGTGAAAACGTAATTGTTCGTTTGTTACCTTCAAGATCGCACCAAGCCACTTCGCACTTTGATTTCCTTTTCGCAACTGTCATCGTTCCGTCGGATAACGTGACTTTTTAACGGTTTCAACCAGCGGTCGGGATTATCTGAGGCATAAAATCTCTGATCACGCCTTCCTTCGGACGGGAGGTAAAGCAATCCTCCATTGCGTTCACGTGTTTCTCCATGCCTTCGCCTTCGCTGTAACGTTTCACAATCAGGCTTCGTAAGTACGATGCCATTGACGTCAGTCGTGGTTTCTCGAAGTGGTTCTTCAGCTTGTCCCATGCTTCACGATTCGTGACCCGTGACATGCTGATTGCTATCCATCAAAATATCGATTGTCGTTCTTGTACGTTGGTCCCCAGAATTCCAGGTTTCGATATTAGTAGTATGTCTCGGGTCAAGTTCCGTCGCATTTCGTGCTTCTGCTTTCGCTCCGGTGACATGCTTCTAAAGGTCCTCACGAATCAACTGCAGCTTGGTACTGAACTTCCAGCTGCTGTAATTCGATCCATTTAACTTCGGAACTTGAATTTTCTCCATTTTATTGCCCTCAGAAATGTTTTCATCCATTGGTTGATTGGTTACTCGGCAACCCAGGGCCTCTAGTAGATTACTAAAAGTGCAACCTGCTTGGTTAGTAACTAAAAATATATTTCTTTATACGTGAAGAATTTCCACATTACTCAATATTGTTCATACCTGACAGTTAAATAGGGCAAACTATGCAAAACAACTTGGTCAAAGACCACAAATCGATTCGAATTTTGTTCCAAAAGTTATGAGCAGAGCAGGATGTTGTAAAGTTGGCTCACCCTAATCTACATACATGCATACATTTCAGGAATCTCGAATTCTAATTTATCTTAAATCTTTCGTATATTTCACTTTGAAACTTAAACTTCATTGTATGTCCACAATGTAAATCCACAATTTTAACACTTTTAGACCTTTACATCTTTTAGGCTCTTAAATGATATTTGCATTGCCAAACTAAATTGACTCAACAAATCATTTGACATAGATGTTTGAATGTATATAATTATCCATTATATATGTAAGTTCGTCATCTTAAGTCTGTTATTGGTTACTATTGTTTGTTCCACTATACCAGTGGTTCTCATGCCCTTTTTTTCGATAGCTGTATTTTTGTTCGATGGTCATATTTTAAGTTGAATTTTGCGTATTTCTAAGTCATTTTGGCCATACATTCGTAATGCAAAAAGAAATGCAGGCTGAGGTTGTTGCATCATAGAGGTCCAAGCACTGTTCCCATCACTGCATTATACCAAATATTTAGTTTCAAATCAGAGACAGGTTTGTCGTAGTAAGTGCACCATAGCGCACGATCTGAAACACTAGGTTGAAGCAGGCGTTAATTTCCAGTTGAAATGTAATAGACAAGAAGTAAAAGAAGAAGATTATCTATAGAAGTTAGCTCTTGGTAACTTGAATAAAAGTTGTTACTTATTTGAAGTAATTATTTGGCAGCTATTATTTACCTTCGCTCTCACTGTCACTAAACGTTTCATCATTTTACCGACTGAGTCCTATGTATATTTCTAGTATCGTTATAACTCTTCCAGAGTTGCTTAGTCATCTCATATCCCGGTGGTAATTAAACCTGTTGAATTGTCTTGATGGCTCATTACCTGCTTTGAATATTAATTATTACATACTTAACTTACCATCTACGATAACGCAATATCTTCAATTCTCAGCGGAAGAGACAAATACAGATAACTATAGTACGAACGTGGCTCAGAAATATGCGCTATTATTAATTGATCAGCATTTAAATTCATAACATTTGAATAATAAATGGATATTTGGTACGAAAATTCGCTCTTTCTTTGTTTCTTTCTGATTTGTTCATCGTATGGTACATACTGACATTCCATTTCAATCATATCGTCATTTCCGTTTCGTTTCAAACTGTTTTTATCTTCAAATGCTTCATTCGATCGTCGTCATGGTGTTTCCAGGTTTCGAGGAGTGTCAATCTCACCCCCACGCTAGGAGCACTGGGCACTTTTCGAGGCGGCTCGTTGCCCAATGTCAACAACGATAACGATACATTTCAGGAAAAGGTTCGCCTTAGTTGGCGTTTATTTTTCAGTGTTTTGTCTTTGGTTCTATTATATAGTTGAAAGTATTGCGCATTTTGCACCACATTAGACTCTTGTGTAAAAATAATTGCACAGTAATATGTTCGCACATTCAAGAAAATTTAAAAATAGATTAATTTGAAATGTAGCAGCTTCAGAACAGTATTGGTACACTACAAAATTTCAACTTTAAATTTTAGGACCAGTGCGAAAATATTACTGTGCACTTATTTTCAGCGTAGCAGTCTAATGTGATGTGAAATTTGCAACTATAGGAAATTTTAATTAGGTTGATATTTGTTGTTATTGTTGTTGTTGTGTGTTAATATAGTTATAAGTAGGGCTAATGATACTACGTTTAGGTAGCATCAGAATCCTATGTCAAATATTTTGAAGAAAATTGAACTTTTCACTGTAACATTTGGACCATCATAGTTATCAATTCTAATAGTTGTACATATGCAATTTGGAGACTAGTATATTTTCAAGGAACTAGGGTGCCGCATCAATTCGGCATTCTTGACTTTGCTTCGACATACCCCCAAATCAGTCTTCCTACAGTCGCCTTGTATTTGTTTGACAGCAGTCGCAATTTAGCTCGTGATTAATGAATTTGATGCATGAATGTTGGATGTAGCTGTTTGTGTTCATTATTATTGACGCATATGATGGAAATGGGTCCCATATACCTAAGTAGTGCTACACCCTATATGTATCACCACTGTTTACTCACCATATTTACCGTTGTACTGAATGCCGTTAAAATGGAATTCGAATTATTGTTGAACTATTTATTATTACAGTTTCAGTTCCTATAGAATAACTAGAATAAGTATCGCTGAAACCAAGCATCTCAAGTAGAGGTTCTCTAAACACTTGTTTTGTTTTGAAACGAGAAAAATCGACAATGGTTGAATGGTTGGACTTCCTCTGGCTACTACGGGATGATTTAAATCACTATACATATATCTAGAGTCTAGACATTCTCAAGTAAAGCCTCAACGCTTTTTTATAGTCACTTTAACGGTCTTGGGTCATTCGTGACTTGTCTGGGGGTGAGATTTGAACTCGTGACTTTGGCGTGAGAGGTATGGATGTCGCCCCCCTATGCTTTTTTTTCTTGGTTTGTTTTTCGTCGATCTTGTTTTCCGTACAAGGCTATAGACGCCAGGGAGGCAGCTCCGACACCTGGAACCTACCTATCGACCCATCACATCAACTCATGGACCGGGGACGAACGGCTTTACTTCCTTGAAGGCTTTATACCTCAGAAAATCTCGGTGGCGCCGACTGGCGTTTTGGGGTGCGAGGCAATAACGCTTACTACTACACCACAGGCGCCGCTATAAAGCCTCAATGCTTACATGCCATTTAAAAAAATAACAGTTAGGGCTCCAAAGGGATGCTCAGAATTTTTAAAATTACGAATTGATTTGTAAAAACTCCTATTTTATTAGAAAGCTGTTTTCTAATTGCGTTAAAAAACATATTATTTTTGGTAAAACACCAACTTTATTTTCACAAACGATTTCAAGATATGGCAATCAGTTTTAAGAGATCAGTTTTACAATCAAAACCATTATATGTTGAAGTTTAACATTTAATTAAATCTAAGATTTCATAAAATATCAAAACCTTAAAGTTTTGAACTTCAAGTCCAAGTTGTAGAAACTTTTCAAAGTCCAAAAATCCAAGAATTAAATCTCAGCCATTTGAATAATTTCATGTTCAAAACCTATAAATTTCAAAGTTCGTCATTTCAAATATTTTTTGTTGTTTTGGAACTTGAAAACATCTCACGTAACCTAATTTTCTTTCTAATTCCACCCTTCATGTCCCGAATATTATATTTGAAATAAACCACCCTGAACATTAATGATTTTTTTTTTCTAAATCCAGGATCATATAATTTTCTAAGCAACAAAAAACCTTAAAAAATGTAAGCAGCAGAATTTCCATTTCTTTCCCAAACCTTAAATCCACCTTTTTTGTGTCCAGGATTTCGAAATTTAAATGTAAAAATTTTATTCTCTTATAATTTCCTCTATAATACATATTCTCGAAAATTTTCTACGGAACACTCTCTGAATTCACTCTCTTCATATTATTAATAATTCTAGCAATTCCCTGAAAAATACTCTTGAAAAAAAATCACTTAGAGTTTTCCTCAGCATGCACTTAGTATTCTCCTGAAATTCCCATGGAATTATCATACGAATTTATTTTTACTTCAGCTCAGAATTCTCATAAATTATTTGAAATGCTCCTCATGATTACCTTGGAACTCCCGTTTTTTAATGTTATCACTGGAATATCCTTGGAATACTCCTCAGAATTCATTCGGAATTTTCCCTCAAATTTTTTTCAGGATATCCTCGGAATTCAGTATTCGATTTCCTTAAAATTTTCCTTAAAATTCGTTTGGAAAACTTCTAAGAATAATTATTGTACTTAAAAATTAAAACCTCAAATTAAATTTATTGAATGGTAATTCGTTATATGTATATCAAGTAAATTTGCGTTTAAAATGAAAATGTATAAATGTCTTGAATTAATGTTTCAGAAAGCTTGGCTGGTTCTAATCAATAAGTCGCAGCTACGAAGCAAGTCCATGCTGAGTTAGATTCCCGTTCGGTCCTTAGGCGATGGTAGAGAATGTACTCAATAAAAATGTGGAAGTGCTTCAAAGAACACTAAGTTGAGAGCAAAAAACTAATATGCTATAAGCAATAAACTTGAAATGCCATGTAATATTAATACAAATGGTATTTTTAAGCAACGATTTTTCTTTTGTAATTTTCGCGGATGAGTATTTGAAGCCGCGGATTTGTATTGAAAAATCGCGGATTTTTCGGATCAAATTTTGAAAATCTTTTAACAGTCCTGGAACTACAATTACAGCTCTCGTATAGAATAGCTACAGAGGATGGTTGTCAAACTTTTTTTTCGAATGCGACACACATTTAGGAATGTTATAAGTTCGCAACCGACCAATATTAAATGCAGGTGATCTATGGCCAAAATGATCTTAAAAGTACAAAATGGCTTTAAAAGTCATGGCATGTTGATTACTTGAAACGCCAAAACATAACTGTCTTTTGAACAGTTATTCAGTGTTTTTTTTCATAAATTGACAAATATGTATCTTTACGAAGTTATCTCTAACGGATTATTTTGTATGGATAGCTGTCATAATTACTTATTAATAATTATTGTAGCAATGCAAAAACTATTTTTGTTCGCCACGAAGGTGATGATGGATTTTTAGTATTTGATTTAATAGTAGTAGATTAAAAAAAAAAATAATCTTCAATGGTTTGAGCCTCGCGTGCGTATTACGGATATGGGGGACTGCATTTAAAATTTGATTAAAAAAAATATGCATTTTTGAAGCTTATTTGGAAGATGTCTTGAATTAGTAGTGAGTTTTCTGGCAAATGTCGGGGGTTCGTGAACATTCTTTACATTGCTGAAAATTATGATAGCATCAGATTGCGGGCTGCTAGTGTATTAGAATGCTTTGTTGATTGTTCATTAACTATTGGCCGCTTGTAATACTTATGAATATTTGAACAATGTTTCCGCCTACCGCACAAAGTTTAGAGCTCCGAAGGAATTTGACAGGGAAGATGGCATCCTCAAAACAGAGGTTTGCGTGTTAGCTCATGGCTTTATTCTATGTGGTACTATACTTTTGCGCAAGTGCAGCGCAACGGCATGTGTCCCTTCAATTCTGGCAGGGTTTTCAGCCTACTGGATATGTTGTCTTCGCTTCAACTTGAAACAACCTCTCAAATGATAATTTTGTGTTTACACACTAAAATTTTCACGCCGAGTTTCCAACAGCCGAGCAGTTCTGCAATTTATTTATTTATTTTGCCAAGACTCAGCCAACAAATAACATTTTGCAGAGATATCAGCAAAAGTAAATGCCGAGGTAATTGGCTGTTGGAGATTTTACCGAGCTAGATTAAGTGTGTATGTATTACGTTAGATAAAACCAACAATTTTACGGATCATTCGGCAATTGATATCCATGTTTTATAGTTTGCACATAAGAAACTATCTAGGAAGCAAGGAAATGTGTATGTCGAACCACATGTATGAAATTTTTGTTTTTATGATTTTTATTATTTGTGAGCATGTTAATGTTGATTCAGACGTGTAAATATACTGTATATTTTGTTCTGTTTGTAATATGTATGGAAGTCTACCAAATCATCATATTACTAATGTTCTCAATAATTTCCCCAAACAGGGTGATGACAGTACCACACTCACAGAGCTGAAGTCCTACACCCAGTTGGAAAATGTCAAAATCAAAAAGGAAACACCCAAAGCTGGTACACTGAACCACAGCAGAGAATCGCGAGGTATTTTAAGTTCATATTACTAATAAATGTTTATGTATTAAAGTATGTTTTCAACGCATCGCATATGTTTCACAAAGAATTAAGCTAACTATTTTTTTTCCAGGGCGAACACCCGGTCCAATGAGAAATCGACAGTCCAGTCGGAACCATGACACATCGCCATACGGTAACAACTCGGTGCATCTGATTCCTCCAATGGAAAATAATTGGCATCGGTCCATCTCAGATTCGGCCATACATCAGACTCTATGTCAGCAAATTCAGGTAGATATTTGAATTGATACCTATTTCAGCATGTTTCCATGTATAAATCATTTTCCACTTCGAAATTCCAGCAAGAGCCTCACCTGAACACACACTCACCTTTAACGTTAAGTCCAACAGTTCAAAGAAAGATTTCAAATGCTCAAAATATCTCCAAAGTTCATCATCATATATCATCAAACCATCTCGACAACTCAATCCATGATATACGGTCTCGATCGTCGACCGGTCTTACGAGGTTACCAGGAATTAAGTATGTTCATACAATATTAGTTCCTAAAAGTCGATACTCATGACTCTCGTATTTCAGCATTTATCCCTCTCAAAATCACACAGATAGCATTCAAATTCCCATACCAAGTAATACGGGTTCACTGCCGGATTTGACGTCAGTTGGGTATCCTATGTACCCGTCACCGTTAGATCAGGAGTATGACCATAATGCGCAAAGTAGTAGTTATCCAGTAAGTAATCACGCCATTAAGTTACGTATTAGTTTCTAAGTAGTTAATTCATATGTTTTATATGAGCAGAGTCCGCTTGGTACGTCACCATTGTCGTTATCACCCACATCGGCCATCCATAACCACCATCCACATCCGCGGCCGAATAATTTCGGCGGTGGGGGTGGCGGAGGAGGAGGAGGAGGAAGCTATCCAATCCCAACCAGCAGTCATCCCAACAGCGGCAACGTCAGTCCCAGCAGTAACAACAACAACACCAGTACGACTAACCTTAATAACGCTACCAATAACAGCAGTAGTACTGCTAACCATAACAGTGTTAAGAATAACAACAAGAAGCCGAAATCTAGTCAGGTAAGTGAAGACGTACTTCCGCCCGAGTTTGATTTACAGCTGCAAGTGAGTAGCTGTTTGAGATTGCATATCGTTGGATGGTTTGTTGATGGAATTGTCCACCATGCAGCCTCAGTCAGCAGTTTGGCCTGTTGCATTAACTTTATCTGCAATTTCGCTAGCATTGAAAGCCTGCATGAAGTTTGTTGTGTTAGAAATGTTTGTTTGTAAAACTAGCAATATTTGTAAATGGATTTGAATTTTAATAACTAAATGATCTACTAAACCTTCAACCGCGCTATTGTCTGTACTGATAGCTTATTGTATTTAAATTTAAATTCATCAAAACACCGAAATCATCAAGTGGTTGTTCAAAAGCTTGTTTCGATCTTTAATAACATGCTTATATCAAAAACGAATCAACCTTCTTTGATATGTAAACCCAAAATGTTCTTAACCTTCCCCGTGAACTGTCCGTTTATTTCCCACACAAATATTTTAAATACGTTAAACTAGTAACAGGAATTTTTATTTCTTAAGAATTGTTTTGCGGGGAAGTATCCTATTTAGAATAATGCCATTTGGCATAACTGCCGGTTTGCACAATAGCCATTTGCTATAAACGAGCAAAAATGCATTATATTGCCTTTATCGAACATCAAAAGAAGGGAAAATGATGATTTTTTGATCTGACCTGTTCTTTCATATTTCGTTGAAAACAGTCCATAAAAAAACGAATGCAAAAGAACTATTTATAGGCAAAGACCAGCCCAAGGGTGAAAGCGTGAAAGTCTATCTAATAATGCAAAAAAAAAAACTATTTTAAACATAAGTAGCTTTTTCCGCATTTCTCCCAAACAACCATTTTAACAAACGTCAGCTACCGTGCGGGACCAAAATCCGTACAAGATCGAAATCCGTACACCTTATACAAAAAGTAGGAATTTTGTATCAGGTGTACGAATTTCTATTAAAGCCAGTTCCTCAAGGCTTGCCAAATGGCACTATCCCACATGGGATACTTCCGTATTGTAGCTTCTTATCATATAATCCTCAAACTCTTGTATTTCTCCTAGAATGCAAATAAATTTTCTAGAAAAATCTATTAATATATTACTGCAGTGGGACAACCCTATTTGTAATAATGCCCTTTGGCATACAGTTGTATGACTTAATATAATAGTCGTTTGTTGGTTAACAATACTGGGAAAACGATTTCAAAATGTTTGGGAAAAGTGGGGCAAGATGGTCACCCTAATGAAACTCAAATAATATTCCAATAATTTGATCAAAACATAATTATCGTTTATTTTTTTTTTTTTTTTTTTTATTAAAGAGACTTTCAGCCTTGGGCTGGTTCGTATCTATAATTATCGTTATAATCTAACAAAAGCTTCAAGGGTTGCCTTATAATTATATGCTTGAAGAATAATCATACAAACTTGTTATCAAGGCAACATTTCCTGTTTTATTACAATCGTCAAGTCCATTATCAGCCTTACAAACCTCTTCAAAATCATAATAAAACCGAAACTGTTACTTGGGTAAACTCTGCTCAAGGGTCATCTATCAGTGATGATGTCTATAGAAACTACATGAAACTGCAAGCCAGAACCCAGAAACTCTGCTGCAGGAAACCGGAATAAACTTCCAGGTAGATAAAGTAGGAAATAGGAAGAAAATTCTGGGTGGAATTCAAAAACTGTTTCTGGGATAAATCAAATATAAAAATTAAATGGTTCAATTTATTTAATGGATATAGTTCTACGGAAGTTCATAGTTGAATATTTTGTAACTATCAAAAATTAAACTGAATAGGGGAAATGGCTCTAATGTAGCCTGTGGATCTAAAGATTAAGCCCATCGATAAAAATGCCCTGCTATTCAATTTGTATTAGAACAATGCGTCATTTGGACAATACAAATGGATGTTTGCTAGTGTCAAAAAATGCGTTCCTTCGAATATTAGAGACACTTAGGCCGACATTAGGGACATTAACCCTACCGAAAAAATATAATATACGGATATTCGACCTCCTTTCCATTCGGATATTCAATCTCCTTTGCCGGGCTTTTCATTGAAAAGTACATATAGAGAGTAAAAAGCGAGCTAGACAACTTTTAGGAAGGTACAAATCAGTTTTATCATCTCTCTTTACCAAACTCCCCCTTTGGAGAGGGATGGTGAGGTAATATCCAGGAGTTGGCAACGATCTTCGTAGGGTTGAAGATTCGTTGGAGCATTCCAAGGAAGGTGGCAAAGAGCGTAACGAACGAATTTCCTCTGAACAGACTCGATCCCCGCCATCCACATTGTTTCATACGGACACCATATTACCACACCAAATCCCAAGATGGATCTCACTAGAGAACAGTATAGAGCTGTCAGGCAGGTAGGATCCCGAAACTCATCAGAGGCTATGATATCCGTGTAATGTAGCTGTCAAAGCAGAATCAAGTGTAATTCCTAGATCACGAACGTTGTCCACACGCTGCAGAGGTTGGTTATCGATCGTATAATTGAATGCAATAGGTTTAAGTTTGCGATGGAAAGTGATGATATTGCATTTGTGAACACTCAACGTGAGAAAAATCGTAGAGCACCACTCTTCGAAACTACCGTTCAGGTGTTGCAACCGCAAGCAATCAGTGAAGCATCGCACAACCGCATACATCTTGACATCGTCTGCATAGAATGACCGGCAGCCAGTTGGAAGTATCAAACCAATTTCGTTAATGAATATCGAGAATAGCAGCGGTCCCAAATTGTTGCCTTGAGGAATACAAATATACAAATGTTTGACTATTTGTCTATTTCCGATTGATCAGAGCCGATTTTTACACAAAGCTATTGATTGGTAAGATACGATTCAAACCAACGAGTGAGTCCTTGAGAGATACCGAGCTTCTCGAATTTTGCAAGTAGAATGACATGATCAACCCGGTCGAAATCAGTCTTGTCGCCTTTCTAGAAAATGTGGAACATGAAAGAAGATTTCCAACGAGAAGGATACAGTTATAGTTGTAATGAAATATTGAACAGCTTTGAAAGCGGAGAGGAAAGCTCTGTTGAGCATCTTTTGAGTATGTATTATGGAATGCCGTCAGGCCCAACAGCGTTGGAGAATTTCAGCTTCTGGACGGCAGAGTCGACAAGGTCCAATGTGACCGTGAAAATATCAAAGCTGAGCGTGTCTCTGGTAGTATCTATGATCCCTTCAGCAACTTGATTAAACGAGGTCGTTGAGTTTTTGAAAACATTCTTGGAGGCTCTGCCAGGAGGTTACATTTGTCTAAAAAAGTATTGGCTTTTTTATCGCTTAGATGAATCTCAACCGGTAGCCCATCCTCTTTCCTTTTTGTCTTCACAAACGTCCAGAATAGTTTAGGATTATGCCGGTGATTGGTCTGCATACGTCTTGAGTACCTACTTCTAGGATAGAACACGGTTGTACATTCGATAGTCATTACTTGCTAACGAAAATAATCGCTTGGATAATGGATTACGGGACTGGTTGTATTTGCCTTCGATCTCACACGCTTCAAGTGTTGTAATCGATCATTAGAACATGCTGGTTTTGCAGCAGGTCCCTTAGAGGCACACAATCCATTATTAATCGGCTCAATACTTCGTTGAATTAGTTGACGGCTTCATCAATGGACGAATACAAGCCAAGCAACAGTCAATCTACCTAGACCAGTGAGTACTTCAATGCAACGAAGTCAATTCTACGAAAAGTCCAGGCTTTGTATATCAACAGTGTCGTCATAGAGAACAGGAGCTGATTGAAGAATGCTTCCAACGCTGGATGATCGGCGTCTAGATGTATCAAAGGCTCGGCTGCCTCGGCGACACTGCACTCTAGTGTGGCGACTTCGTTCACCAGTACAAGATGGAGCAGCTGAGAGTTGGCAAGCTGAAATCATCCTATATATTTATTTCTTGCAAGAGCAACAAAATTGGGCCGATTTTAACATTTAAAATTGACGTTTCCGCCAGACCCAGGACTAACGGAAATTCTAAATTCCTAATTCCTAAACTATTATTGATTGTTCAAATTGTACTACTTTTCTTAAGGCCGGCGCACAATAGATACGTTTTCAGGTTTTTTGACAGTTAGCCCATGCATTATTTGTCAAAAAACCCGAAAACGTATGCATTGTGCGCCGGCCTTTACTGACACAATTCTTATAACATACATTCCAACATAATTAGAATATGAGGCTGTAATGCGAATAACGTCTTAACCATAATTCGATTTCAATCTAAATAATTTAAAATGGTTATTTAATTCAGGGTGGCCATTGATCTGGGATAACCGGGAATTAACCGAGATCCGAAAACAAGCGGAAAAAATACTGGGAAATAACTGTAAATTCGATACTAACTTTACAATATTTTAGTTTACACCTACACTGCCTATAATCGCATAATGGATTTTCGTCAATTTTAAGATAATAACTCTATCCACTATCAATTGGCCTATACTTTCATTTTATGTGGTAAAACTACGGAAAATGTGAAAACAACATCAAGTCAGTTTGTCCCATCAAGCAAAGTAATCTTACATCAGTTCCATCCTTAAATTCAATCGTTCAGAGGTGAAGTTACAGTTCTGCTTTTCGAGTTGCCATATTTTTCACTGATATAATAAAACATGCAAGCTGCAATGCAACTGATTTTAACTTGAAAAAATATTAATGTATTTACTATGATTTTTCAAATATTTACATGGGAATCGCACTTCGTAACTTCGACTGCCATTTTCTCAATGCCTTATTTTTTTCCATATGGTCCTGATATTGGGTTATTATAGGTAGTATACAGGGTGTCCGAATATAATCCGTGCAACAAAAATGTGTTGAAATTATCTTTTATTGATAACTTAAAAAAATCAATATAAATTCGGGAATTACATTGTTAAATCGGGAATCCAGGTACCTATATAGTTTTTGTGCATGAATTTTCACCAGATGTAGTTTTTCGACACTGTTACCATCAACCATAATGCATTATTCCGACAATCCAGTAATACGCATCGTTAGTCAGGAAAGGTCCGGAAAATATCGGATTATAACGTCTAAACGCTCATTTGATAATATTGTACTGTAAGTTTTAAAATGTATGCCATGTGCGTGATCTCTGTTAAGGGTTATTTGACAGTTTGATTATAGAGGCGATATCTGATAATTCAGAAATGATTTTAGTGGATTACACTTCTATCAGGAAATTTAAAATATCGGATTTAGAACATAACCCCGAATAATTTAAAACACACCCAATTTAATTAATTCGAACGCAGTAACATTTGTGTACTGCATGTTTATGGACTATTATCACTTTTTCTTGTTTAGTAAACAAGAAAAACAAGTGGTTGGAAGGGAGGGTTTTTTCACCCGTGACTTAGGTACATATATACAATCTGAAATGTTAAATGAATTTCTTTTTCTTTTATTCTTCTGTAACTCGATTCTGCTACCCTTTCGCTCTGCCGAAAAACTCCAAAGGATACTGTCAATATTTGCGTAAAGACACACTGCCAGGTTGTCAAAACCAATTTTTAGGATACTTTTCGATTCGCAAAGTATACATTAAAAATTCCTTCAAAATTTATCTCAAAAGTACTTTGGAAGTGTTGTCTAAATTTGCTTGAGATTTCCTTCAAAATTACATAAAATTGCTTGGTAATTCTGTTCGGAAATCAGAAAGATTTTATGCAGTCTTCTTAGTGAACATCTATAATCGACGTAGCATATTTTGGTGTAAACTCTCTCCGTACTGTATTTTACAATACCTAATACATGGCCGATCAAAACTTTACAAATAGCCTATGCTGCGTCATTTCTGCATGTTCCTTTATGCAATTGATTGTTCCAGTTCGAACAAGGGATTTATGTATACCTATTACAGAGCAGTAGGTTCACTCGTCATGGTCAACTAACACAACAAAGTTCATGTTAGGCTTCAATGTCTTTGGCAAAGACAATAATGTAAATACTAAGGATGTTTGACGTTTATCTACTCACAGCAAGTATTTTGTTATATTAGTTGTTATACTTTCAGTTCTTGCTTGCAGGCTTGTTTCATTTGATGTGCTAGATTATTTACATTCTTCATCATTAATTTTTTCAGCCTTTTTTATCTGTACCAGATAGCAATAGATTTACGTTTATGTCAAAGGTATATAATTTATTTTTATTTTCTATTTTTCTTTATTTAAGTCTAAGCATCAAACCGATCTACTGATTGGTTCGATATCATATTTCTACTTTATCCATTGCAACACGCGTCTGTTTTATTTGATTTATTGTATCATAGTTGTTGCTCGAGCAAATTGCATACTTGTAAATAAAGCATCATGTATGCCGCTAGTACAGCAATAGCACTTTTATTTTGATGTTTTATTTTGTAACATTAAATCGATGTGTAGTATAAATAATGCAGCCGTGTGTTTTGTGCAGCTGATAATGGAAGGTAATTTGTTCCCAAGATCATTTACGTATCGACACCCGTCAAATAGGAACATCTTTTACAAAAGAATTTAATAATGATCTAGGAACGATTACACTCCATGCACATTGCAATTACGTTCAATCAATAATCTCCCATTTATGAATTAATAAGTTATTTCCAACTCAGGGTAACAACACTTACGATGTGAGTCAATCGCCACAGCCACAACCACAGCAGCAGCAGCAGCAACCACCGCAGCAGCGAATACCAACCCTAGACCAGATTAATTACGATAATTTTAGTCAATTAAACGACGGGCTGTCTTCGCCGAATCATCAAAATTCACCCGAAAATATAATTTATGGATCTCACGGGAACATTTCACCGGTAGTGAAGCGGGCAAATGTAATGATAGAATGGAATTGTTGTGCTAATCGATGCTTTTCATTTCAGCATATGATGCTAGACTACCGAAATCGGCCAAGTCCTGGTTCCAGTCCTGGTTTGGTGCTTGCAAATAATCTTGACTCAAACTCTAGTGCACCCTGTAGTCCAGTGTCTCATAGTATAGGAAGTAATAACGGGTAAGTTCTATTTTATTTTATATGCAAACATGCATTCACGTCACAGCAGTATTCTATTAAGGTATCCTTAACCTCAATCTACCTGTGCACCAACTCTCAAAACATAAAAAAAATATCAAAATATTGCTTGCAATGGATAGATATCGAGTAAACTAGAAGATTAAGTGTATTTTTCAAATGATTCGAGTATGAATATGGCATTAAATCTGGTTTTGAAAGTTGGTGCACAGGTAGAAAGTGAGGTTACGGGACGCCACTGAGTTCAGCCATTTTCAGATGCGAATGGTTTCTCATTCGCCATAACTGCGTCGTTAACATTCCGATAAAACTCCGTTTACTAGTTTGTATATTACAATGGTGATGATACGGTCTTAGAACAAACATATTCGATGTGTTTTTACACTTCTTTACAACTAGTTGTTGCTAGAGAGCTTTGAGCTTTCAGTGAACGTTCCGGATTATTCCCATAAAACTTACTCTATTGGCTCTAAAATGATGTATAAATTCTCAAAACTATGACATACAGTGTTTGTAAGGGAGGGACTTAGGGTCAATGCACTTCCGTGAGCCAGGGTTCTCCGTTAGGTTAGTTTCATCCTAATTCCAGATGTTTACTGGAGGAACATCGGCCGTCACCTTTGACAAATTATTGATGTAACCTTTCAGAACCTCGGACGAAATGGCTGCTCGGCTTTTCTTAATGTTCGGAACGAAACGTACGGACAGCTCAGGGTGCCGAATCAGGAACGATTTGGTCCAGTCTAGGCCAGGAAAATTTCCCTTCAAACGAGCAACCGTTCTGCCAATTTTGAAGAGATAGTCCTTGACGATATGCCGCAAATCTTCTTCGTTAACTGGAAATCCGCTATTACTCATAGTTACTACACATTGCACAAAGATTTCCTCTTTCAAACATCGTAGCAGCTTCTCGATGAGTCATACCATTCTGGATCGCCATAAGACATGTAGTCAATCTGTCCTCGGTGTTGTCTCGGTAGGACCGCTCTCCAGGAATTCGCTTATGTTTTCGTGGCATTTTCTGTGAGGAATAAGCTATTTTTTTATATAATCAAAGTGAATTCAAGTGGTGAAGCCGACTTACGATGCTGTTTTCTCCGAAATAAATGATGCAAAGCGAATATGTCAAAATGCTTTTTTTTGTGTAAACAGTAATCTATTGTATTCGTGAAATTTGCACACTGAATCATAATTATCGGTTTGGCCTAAAGTCGCCCCCGCCAAGCTCAAAAAGTACATAGCTGATAAGACTAATTTCTTGATTGAAAGTTTATCATCACAAAATTACTAGTAGAAATATTAAAAATTCAGCTTCAATACACCTTCTCAGTAGCAAGTTTAGTCATTTTCATATTTGAGTGCAATTATGGAGTACATTTTTTTCAACCATTTTTTTCAAGTTTACAACACTGTTATATTTAAACAACATGTAAATGTTATTAATTAATTAACTACAGTAGACAAAGAGACATATCAGCTTTACACTTTGTTATGCTCAAGCCATAATTTTCGGTACCTGGTTATATTGTTGTATTCTTCTTCTTCTTCGCATTCCAAGCTTATTGCATATCGCATATTAGCTTATTGCGTGCTCTCAACTTAGTGTTCTTGCTGCACTTCTACAGTTATTAATTGAGCGCTTCCAATGCCTGTACCATTTTTGCATTATTGTGTGGCAAGTACAATCATACTCTATGCCCAGAGAAGTCGAGAAATTTTCCAACCCGCAAAATTCCTAGACCGGACCAGCATGGTCTTGCTTTGTAGCTGCGCCTTTACCGACTGAGCTAAGGGAGGCCCCATATTGTTGTATTATATTGTATAAAATTGTTATACGACTTCTGGTTGTCTGGGTATGCTCAGTAGGTGCAGAGGTGGTAAATGTAATAGGAAATATTTAGTGAAAAAATGTCACGACATTTTTCCTCATTTTTTTATAAATAAAATCTCGTTATGGGCTGTTCATAAACTACGTAGACATTTTAGGGGAGGGGTTGACGGGTGTCTACGATCCATACACATTTTCAAAAAATTGTAGGAACGATTACGACCTCTCAAAATCGGTCTACATAGTTTATGAGCAGCCCTTTACTACCTCTGAGTAAATAGTCGGTAAACAATATTCTACCGTAGAACCGCGTTAGATTGAATTCCTAAAATGGCAGTTAAATGGCGCATATTTAGAATTTGTTTAACTGGTATCCCAACACAGTTGCGTAACGCCATTGGGTACCTGTGTAGGGGAAACTGTCAACGCTATAACAGGAAGTCATTATCGCGTAGGCAACATGTTATACATGACAGCGGGCCCGAGACATACTGCCTACTGCCAAACTCTGTTGTTGGTTAAGCCCTGTCCCTGGGTTGGAACCAGTTGATGAAATTCTAAATTATCCCCCAAAGACTAGTCCACATATATATGGTGGAAATTTTTATCATTTTTTCAACGGGCCAACCCCTCGATTTGTGCCATTAGGTGAGAAAACCACTATCTGAAAATTTCAGCTCATTTGGATGTAACACGAGATGGCGTTTTTGATTTAAAATTTATATGTGGATATTGCTTGAAATTTATGGAGAAATAATATTCCTTCACTCTTTCGTGCATAGAACTGGTTCAGCAAACTCGATTAAGTTCAGAATTTCAGCACACGTAGCCTATAAGGAACAACTTTGCTAAAGACAGCATCAAGATTTAAGTTAATATTATGGAGATATTAATTAATCATATGCATTCTGCTTGTATTGTATATTGCAACAAAATACAGGCAGCTTATGCAACGTAGCAACTAGATTACCACTAAAATTACAAGTTCATATTTTCTACAGGCCAACATCCACTCTCTAAATGTTTCAACTCTTTTTGACGCTACACGGGCTGGTGCTTTTGGTTTAATGTTAATATAGGAGATTTCGGTGAAATTTTCATATACAAAATGCTCATTTATAATCAAAAGCGAATATCTCAATAAAACTAAGTGGATCCATGATGTAATCTTCAGCAAATCTTAATTAAATCGAGAATAAGGAAACTTTTTTAATTATCGATAGAGTGTAGGAGTGTAATTTTTTCATGTATTTTATAAAAAATCTACATACAAAATTCAACCTAAAAGCGCCAGCTCATCTAAGAATCAAATGAGCTGAAACTTTCGGATAACGGTTTTCTCACCTTAAGGAACAGATCTAGGGGTTGGTCCGTGGAAAATTGGAACTTTAATTTTTTTTTGGGCCAGCCTAATCCCCCAATGATAGTTTTTTTTTTCAAACGAGCATTGGGATTGAGGCTACATTGATGTTGACACAATTAAAAATAAGTAAATCAAGTAGCTGACCTGTTTTGCCCCACCTTACTCTACAACAAACAAAAACGTTAGGCTATCTGTCTACTGCATAATCGATGGAATTAAACATCTTCTGTTTTTTACATTTCCAGACAATCTTATGACAAGTATCCATCGAATGATGTTTATGTTCAAAACACCCTGCCACAGCACCTGGAACACATAACCTTGGTAAGTACAAAGCTCTTAAGGTTAAAATCTTAGTTAATACGAAAACTTCTGTTTTGCTTCCCTTAAACATCCAATTAGATACTACTCTACACAGATATTCGATAAAATTTACATATTCCCTGTAACCACGGCTATGTTTTTTCAGTTTTAAATTCTGTAAATATACTATTCCATTTCCCTCATCAAAATCAACACCTATATACTCTATTAGAAACTGTCATATGTTATGTTTTCTCTATCCCAATTGTTTGAAAAATTTCCACATTTTTCTTAATTTGTTTTAATGGTTTTATTTAACATAATAAATTATATAACAAATATATTAAAAGTAAAACTGTAACTTCTGTATAACTAACGTTGATTCAATTCACCTTCCAACCGACTACCTACTAAAACTATACCATCAACCACCAAAAAACCATCACCGTCTTCGTTCGCCCATCACCTATCATGCGTCGTGTATGCCGTGAATTGAATTACCCAAAATACGAAACAATACCAAAACACACAATTGTAAAAAATCGTGATAACTCCAATTCCATCTTACGCACAATCGCAAAATGTACGCATTTCCGGCTAATACTGAATCGTGTGTGTGTGCGTATGTTTCAAAGGACTGGACTACTTTGGTTCAAAGTCTTGTCGAGTCTGGATGTACATTAACCGCCCAAATTCAGGTTGATACCAATATCTATTTTCAAACTATTTCTCTTTTTGAAGTCTATTTCTCTCTATTTTTCTTATTCATGCCGATGCCGTTTTTTCGTTTTCTATTGTTTCTGTTTTTGAAGAGCGTAATGATCACTTTTTTTTCATTATTCGAATGAGTTTTCTTTTATAATTCGAGTATAAGTCTTGCCAGTGGAAAAAAATATCATCCAGCATACTTTCGTTTGTTATCATTGCATTTTTTCGGAAGCTGTTGTTTGTGTTATGGTGTCAGTATACTCGATGCTGCATGTATTATGATTTTTTGTTTTGCCGTAGTAGTTTTTCAATGCAGTCACATTTCATTCCATTCATTATATTTAGTAGTCAATTTCTAGTCATTCCAATAGTAGCCAAATGTACTATTAACCAACCGATAAGTTATATTTTAGTAAAGTTGATTCTGGTATTTACTGTCAATCAATCATATGAAATCGCTTGTTATCTTTTTTTCAAATATAAGCATGAGCAGTTTTTCAAGCTCTATCCAGGCATATAATACTTCGTGTAAAAGACCTGAGTGTAGTTGGAAAAAGGACTTATCTTTCTGGTTGCACTGTCACTGGTTTACATTTTTTCCTTGATTTGTTTTCCGCCGATCTTGTTTTCCGTGCTAAGCACCAATGCTACCGACGCCAGGGAGGCAGATCCCATACCTGGACCCTACCTATCGACCCATCAACTCATGAACCGGGGACCAACGGCTTTACTTCCCTTCCGTGTTCAGAGATTTATGCCTCAGAAAATCCCGGCGGCGCCGACTAGGATTGAACCCAGGCCTGCTGGGGTGAGAGGCTCACGCTTACCACTACACCACCGACGCCGCTACACTGGTTTACATGTTTTCGTAGTTCGTGATTGAATTACAGTTAACTCGATGGATTCAGCGGTCCTTTAATTTTTCCTGTATTGCGGATCTAAAGAAAAAATTCCATCCGACGGCTACCGTAGAGTTCTACCGCAGCTGTCAATTCTATCGCCAATATGAAAATGAGCTGAATACTGATGAAAAAAAAACATAGTATGCATTGACAAATTTGAAGTATTTTTGTTAACAATATTCTTTGAAATACATCTCTGGAAAAAGCAGTATCGTACTCTCCATAAGACTATATTTCCACAAGTCGATGTTAGTTATCTTGACTCCATAACTCGATATGTAAATGGTAGAGCTTCTGAATTATGTGATTCTGATGTTAAAATCTAAGCAACATTCAAAATATATTGGTCATATTGAGTATCCAGAACTCATCGACCACATCCGAACATGTTCATGGTATCCTCGACGAAACCAAATCAGTGATAGTGCTATATAAAGAAATGTTCCAGCTACCGAGAAGTAGACCAAACCAGACTAGAAGCAACATCTGCAATGCGATGGATCAAATATCATGAAATTAAAACAAATCAATCATTTAAGATCATATTGAACGTCTAGCTTAACATTGTTTTGGGCTTCAAATGATCAAAATCTGTCACAAACCAAAACTTTTCAAGCGATATATAAAATTTGAAGAATTGACAGCTTCATTAATGCAATACAAATTTTTTTTCAAAATATTTTTTTAATGTACTATGAAACCCATCCGCTTTTTCAGTGTATTAGTTTTTTGATTTAAAATTATCAAGTTTTGATTTATTTAGGATAAACCAGCATAATGTTTAACAAAGTTGTAGAACAATTTATTTGGAGATACACATTTTCTATGTCTAATGGTTTTCGTGTTATAGTGGTTTTAAAAATGTAACTTAAGGTGACCCCTAAAATTAGTTTTTATACATTAACTTTTTATTTATTCTAAGGCATAAACATTTCTGGTCACGTCTTCCTTCGAAAGGCAAGGAAAGCCGTTGGTCCCGGCTCATGTGTGTTTGAATGGGTGCGATATTCTGCGCAGGTATGGAAGCTGCCTTCCTGCACATTCGATTGTCGTCAATAGATGGCAATCGATGTCCGTCGGTGATTGGCACTAGTCGGAACAGAGACCTACGTTAAATAACGGAATGAAGATTGACTTTTTTTACAATAATTTCTCGCAAATGATTTAATGTAGACACTTTAATAACTTTCAATGACGCATATTTTGCTGAAGCATTTGAAATGTGCTATCTTTTTCTGTTGGAGAGTTGTAAACATTTTATTTTGAAAAACATGCTAATTTCAGATGTTTATATCCCAAATTGGAGTGAGTGGATGTTATTACTTTTAAATGCATTTTATGAATCGTGTTTTCATTGATGTATTGTCATAAAACTATGATAGACTTTTTATGATTACCTCACTTAATTCACTTTTTAAAAGGGCGATTTTAACGATATTCTTTAATAACTTTTCAACTAAAAGCAACTTGGTTTCTGAGCAAAAATGTTCGACATCAAATGTTCAAAAAGTTTTTAGAATAAACCATTCGTTTGCAAAAAATCGATATTTCAGAGGTCTCCTTTAAGTTACTTATTAAAACCAGTATAAATTATGCACCATTAAAGATAGAAAATTTTGTATCTTCAGCAAAGTCGCAGCAACTTAGAGAGGTAAATTTTTGAAATATGTATGTGGTAAGTGATCGATGTAGTCTGGATTTGCATCGAGTTAGGGTTAGCACGACTTAAGGCATGTATAGAGATCGAAGCGAAGTGAAAATCTCATATAAAAAACACGATCTTTCACCAGCGTGAAAAATGTAATTGCCAAAAATTTCACTTCGCTTGGAACTGTGAACAGATAGGTTCCAGTAAAATCGAATTTTGTTGATCGTATATTTATCGCATACATTTACTTTTTTCGAGACTTTTTTCATGCATGCTGCAGTTTCGAGAAAGAGCGTGTTTGTCAGATTTTCACTTCACTGGAAATCTTCCAAGGACTACTTTTCGCTCTGAAAGAATATGGTCATGTGATACATGCCACGCTCGATCCTACTGGACCTACATATCACACCCAGCTGGGCATGCTATATGATATTCGTTCTTCTGCCAGAAAAGGTAGAATTACTCACCTGTCTAAAACGTAATTTCACAAATTTAAACTCGTTTAACCGTAAAAGCAGTTTTCTGAATTTTAATTATCCAAAACAATGCAATGCAGTTACAATTGTATTTCTTATCATTTGTCTTACCACAATCATTGTATTCGGCGCTGTTTGGCATATTCGGCCGAATAACAGTGTTCTTTGTCCACATTTGACTGATATGCGGCCCTCTAGTTGACATCATATGTAAAATCTATTCAAAAGTTCAAAAGAGGTGTTGTTAACACTAAGTAAGATTACTTAGAAAATCAACAACTTAAAAATATTCATCCAATTTGTTTCTTCCTAGTAAATTCTAGGGACTTTACCGAGGGGAGCGACACATCTAAATCTCAATTCTAGATGCTCGAAAAATCTCACAATAGCGAATAAATCATCAAAACATCTTCTATCAGTTTTCGCATCTAGTTGCATCGCACATCATCTTTTTGCAGGAAATCTTCAGAATCGTCATCAATCTTCTTTCTATCTACTCAGTGTGCGCGCAGCTGACCACAGCAAAACAAAATCTTTCCTGCATCGCTGATAGAGTCGCCCCCCTCGGAGTTTACAAAGAAACTTTTGAGGGAAATTCAAAGTAAATTTTGAGAAGAGTTAACAAAGACAATCCCAAGGGAATTCAAAAGGGATTCTATGGAAAGAAATTCAAGCAAATGCTTGCAAGGATTAAAAAAACACGAAGCTAGTTGTGAAGCAAATCCCAAGAGTTCTCTAAAGAGAATCTATCTATAGAATCTCTAGATCAATGGTTCACAGCTCCATTTTTTCAATTGGTGTAGTGGTAGGCGGGGGGAAATACCCATCACCATCCCTCCTCAACAGGGGAGTTTGCTAAAGGAGATGATCAACCCGATTCGTGTCTTCCTCAAAATTGACCATTGCTCGCTTCTACTCTCTATATACAATTTTTACACTGGCGTACTCTAACGGAACTATCAACTCTATACTTTTATCTCCTCATCTATCGTATAAAATAACCACTTTAAGTCTTATATTTGACGTTAAGCATCTCCAACTATGATTCCTAGAATGTTGTGGATAAATTACATCAGAATTTCGCAGAGAATCCTTTAAGGAATCTAGGGAATCTTGAAAAGAGCTCTGAATAAGCTCTAGGTTGATTTTAAACTACATGGATAGTTTTTGACGTTTAATGACGGCTACTAATTATTGATTCAAACATGACGACTATTCTGCCACTTATGGCAAGTCTGTCCCATAGCACAAATCAGCAAACCGAGAAACACGCTTTTTATGTATGTATCGGACCATTGCTGTTTTTCCATGCTTTTCCAGAACAAAATTATTGAGTTCATCCAGCAATAGAAAATATGGGTAATTAACTACCATTTCCATTGATCTGCGTCTGATCGATTAAATCATGATGATGCCATGTTGAAATTTCATATGAATAAGTTTTAAATTTTCAGACATATGATCTTTCCGACCTGATGATGTTGTCAGTCTTTCGACACAGACCATGATTATGAAAATAGATCCATACATTTTTTCTGGGTTACCGTCTGTTTTCTAATCTCACACTACATTTTAAAAGGGCCTATCAACTTTTGTAAACACAACTTGTTTGGCCCTTTTCGCGCGAACCAAAGTATGCCCATGCAAACCATCAACACCATCAGGAAGGGGAGAATTTGTGTTGTTGGTGTGTGTGATGGCGTACTTCGGTTCGCACAAAAAGGGACTAACAAGTTTTGTTTTACAAAAGTTGATAGCCCCTTTTTAAATGCTATCCAAATTTTTTAATGTATATATTTCCGATGCTTAAAATCTTTTTCCAAGGAAGTGTAAGCATTTTCCTATTTTCAGAAATAAACTCTCCAAATTTCGAAGAAACGGTCTTACTTGCACTTTCGGTTGGGCACTTTCGAAGAATTACTGTTAGTTAGTTAATCCCAGTTTCGCTCAGAGTACTCACATGCGCATTTTAGCATATTTTTTCAGTGGTTTCTATATATTATTCCAATATTATTGTTTTATCAGTAGTTTCATGTAGTACTCAAGCTTTCTAGCTTATAGTGAAGATAGGAACTTCTGCTTTTTTGGCATTTTTCAAGTTTTTAAAAAATATAGAAACTGAACCTACATAATCCTTGCTTACTTCTTTTTTCTATTGATACTTTCCGTCCAACAGGGAGACAGTTCATTACCACCGGACTTTGCAGCAAGTCAGCTTGTATTCGGAACGGTATTTCATCTTAATCTATTCATTAACTGATTCATACTTACGAATATTTATTCTACATGCTTTCTCGCAGTTTGAAGAACCATACCTGACACTTAATAACGATCTCAACCTAAGAACGGATCCAACGCACCGGCAACAATCACCCCAGCAACAACAACAACAGCAGCAGCAGCAACAGCAGCAGCAGCAACAGCAACATCAACAACAGCAGCAGCAGCAGCAGCAGCAGCAACAACAACAGCAGCAACAACAACAGCAGCAGCAACAGCAGCAACAGCAGCAACAACAACAACAACAACAGCAACAACATCAACAACATCAACAACAGCAACAGCACCCTCATGTACCGCCCCCACAGCAATCCCCGCACCTTAACTCGGGTAGTTGTGGTCAGTTGCAGAACAACGTAAACCATCAGAGTCCTATGGGCAACCAAACCTACAGTCACAATCATAACGGGAGTAACGAACCACTACTTAGTTTGCAAACCGCTCCACAAATCCAGTCAACCCCCACCACGATACCAGAAATTGTGTTTACCGGTAATATTTTGTTTCTGTTTTATCAAATACATCCAAACTGTTTTCTAATATATCTCATGAATGCATCGTTGTGTTATTAATAATTTCTTCATCTCTTGCAGATTTCTCTACGCGAGGTAAGTTTTCCATTTGAGTGGTTCATTCATATTAGATTTAACAAGATTTCTTAAGACACTGTACGATGTAGCTTACTATTGTCCGTTTTGGATTTTCATAATGCAGACCTATTTTCGAACATTATTTTTTGACTATAAATAGAATTGAAACCGCTTACCAACCGGCTTGAAAATTGCTGTCTTCGACAAACTTGTTCGGATGACCAAGGCGTTAAAGATGGTCGACAGATTTGTGCCACTTAGTTAAAGAATTCAACACAGAAGCATATATAAGAACTGTAATGTGACCAATTTGTTGTACAGTATGTTGTATCGATGGACCCCCTCATTAACTAGGGGCACAGACAATCTTCGAAAAAGTAATTTGTAATTTCTTGGATTATTTAAGTCAATATATCTATCGCTTTCAAATTATGTGCTTCATTTTTAAATTGGAGAGAGGTAAACTGATTTTTTCCTAAGAAAAAAAAACAATAGGGTCTTGTGGGGCAAGAGTGCCACGTTAACAATCATCATCTTAAGAATTAGCTTGGAATTCGACTCAGAACTAATTAAAAATTCTTCCTAGAATTCATCAGAAATATTCCTCACAATTCCCGTGGAAATCTACTCAGAATTACTTTGGAATATTAGTCAAAACTGGCTTGAAGCAATGCTCAGAATTGACTTGGAATTTTGCTTAGATTTCCCCAAATTCTCAAAATTCCCTGTAACTTTCCTCGTGAACATTCTTCAAAGAAATCGGCCCAACAGCAGCATTTGCTACTAAAAGTTGAAGCTTTATGGAGAAATATCAAAACAAAACATCTGGTGGTAAACCTCCTGGATAAAATATTAAAATACTGTAGAAATGAATAAATTATACAGAACTTTCTATTATGTTTCGTTAAGCCATTATATAGGGTTAAGATCTAATTTTGGGTCTACTAAGCACAACCAGCTCTTTGTCTCTAATTGTCAAGCGGATTTTTTACACAAAATAGAAGGTTTTTACTGCAAATGCCTTCTCAATTTCGGCAATCGAATGTGCAGGAAGGCAGTCTTCTACACCTGCGTAGGATATCGCACCCATTCAAACACCAAGGCCGGGACCAACGGCTTTACTTCTCTTTCGAAAGAAGACGGGACCAGAGATTTTTACTTCTTGACCCCAAACTCAGCCTACGGATTATAAACTCGGCCTAATATATTGAAACGCCATTGAAGTGCAATTGAATTTACTTAGGCCTGTCGGATGAAGATAAAAAATGATTCGGTCAGAGCGCTTCTTTTGTTTTTGAGGATAATGGGTGCAAACTTTTATATCACACGTTCTTATTGACTTCGTTCGGTAGCATTTGAACGAAAGTATCGTACTTGTTTACGCCGAAATCGTGGGTTTATACGATGTGTTGATACCCTATTGGGCACTCCTGTTCACTACTGCATACATATTCACCCGAATAAACTTACTTCTGTTAGGTTTTTTTTAACATCCAATTTTATCATCAAATTCTTCCCCTCTTTCCGACAGACGACTTTGAAGCTGATCTGGGCCTGGGCCAGATGGACTTTCAGAGTTTTCAGATGCTTTCCGACACTGGTGCCATGATCGATCCGATGGACGAGGATAGCTTTCGGCGCGAGCTTCAGTGAGACGACGTGCAAGACGAAGTATGTCGAACCGACGAGATGACAAGGTTACAAGCTTTCGTTACGTTGCTTTAGTTTGACGACTTTATTTTTTAACCTTTTGTGAAACAATCAAAAGAAAATCTACGTAGTGGTAGAGAGCTTTCTTTCTGAAAGAAGGTATTATTTCTCCAAGAGATGGTTCATTTCTGTACGAGTCATGCTTTTAGGATTATTGAACGAGAAAGTTAAAGTGCAGTACTAGAAACGGCTAGCAAGTTTTTATAAGGTTTTAACCTAAGAAGGAACGCTATTTGAGATACAATGAACTTAACGAGTAAGTTTAACTATAGTGATAGGGCAAGAAAAGGTGAATAGTATAGTCAAGATATTGTACGTGAATGTAAAGAGTGCATGGACAATTGTGCGAATTTTAGATAGTGTCTTGTGTACGAGAGTGGAAGTAATATTTTTTATAGATTTCATATGGAAGGAAGCACAAATCAAGACCTTATAAAGTATACCTAGGTTTGGCGCAAACATTTGTTTCAGTGTGGATCGATAGAAATTCCCTACTAATATCATGGTATGATATTGCAAGATTTACGTTTAGTCGATTTATACATGACCATTACATTTATGTTTTTTTAGAAACCGAACATAGACAGGAGATTTTTTTTGTAAAAAATGTGGACGGTATGTACACAAACAAGCCTGGTATTTTAGGTAGAGTGAAAAGAGACGCATGAATACTTAATTTTATTTCGTAAAGATTCATTTATAATGCCAACATTCATACCGATTAACGACTGAGATGTTTTTTCTGATGCATGAGTCTCAATCTTAAGTATGGAAAACGCTACGGAATGATAATAATGAAAATCTTTTTTTAGATAGAGATGTATGCAAATCAAAATCCTTCTGAGCCTTCGGTGAGCGAAATTGAAACGAATACTACAAACAAGAATGTAAACACAGTTTGAAAATGTGTATTTTTACTGAGAAAATAAAACTAAGAAGGTAAATATCGTAACATATCAAAATCCATTTTCCCTCTACAGAAAGCAAAATAAAGATCGACATTCAATAACCGGTCCCCGAAACAAGTACATTTTAACAAATATAGCCAAAAAAGAAATAAAATAGAAGTTTGAATAACAACCATCCTTCCTACGATATTGCTCTCTTTATCTCTATCTCTATCAAAAATTGCATTTCTACCTTACGAGCGGTCGTTGACTGTGTTTAATTCTATTACTATTCTCCTACTAGAATACATACACCCGCACATACTGTTACGACCATTTCTCTCTCTCCTATCTATCGTATATGTTCTACATACCAATTTGTCCTGAAATCAGCAAAGCAGAAGAAATATAAACAGCTCATACACGCTAAAACTATCATAGTACAGAACAACTACAACATGCATCTGCAAAACGTATTTTTTTCCGCATTACAATATATTTCACAAATCAGCATACACTTCAAAGTTCATTCAAAATGAGCAATGGAGCAATAGTCATTAACCGATGAAAGCAGCTCTACCAACAGTTATTGTTAATGTTAAAGTAACAAAACTCGGTAATACACCCTAGCAGAGAGAAAAGAAACGACTTAGAATAAATGTGTAATTAAGAAGACCAACAACATGTTGTATAAACAAGTGGTTTTTTAGTTAAAGATTAAAGTATCGTTTTCTTCCGTTTTTATGTCAGCCTGGGTTTATCTCGTTTCGTTCGGGTTTGTTTTATCTCTGGGTCGTTGATTAATGGTCCTTTTTTATTGCAGGAAAGTCTTTGTCCAACGTGTATCTTTTGTTTAATTTGTGCCAGATAATTTCACATTACTTCTACTAAATCATGGTGCTCAAAACTGATGCAACGAATTTATTGATTTTGTTTCCAGTTAATAACCTTAAGAAGGATTCATTTCGTATGGTGATTATACATATTCCTGCATTGATACGGGCGAGTGTACAACTATAGTTAGACTATTATGTATTCCGTTCGGATCGGATTTCCCATACAAAAAAAATGTATGGGTAACGTGAAAAACAATATAGTAACGTCTTTCACGCCTTACTCGATAGGCTGAGGTGTGGTATATTAAATATGTAATATCCAATTATCAAAGAACATAGGCTTGAGGGCAGGCTTAGTTTTTTTTTAATATTGAACGGGCAAACACAAATTATCCACTATTCAAAATTGTTATTCTTTGCACTTCTTCCTAAAACAACAAATATTTTTTTATTTATGTATTAATTTATCATTAATTATGTTACTTCTTCGTCCCTTGGTATTTATTTTTTAACCACTCCTCCACCACTTCGGCCTATTTGAGTGATGTCGGGCATAAAATGAAAGTAATATTGGCATCGGCCGCATTGTCGGAAAAAAATTACTTCTGTTAACATTCATATGAGCGATCTAAGATTCCATTTATCGCTCACTCCAAAAATTAAGTTAAAACAGACATGACGTCGAATATTTCATATCGAAGGCAAGTGCTTAGTCAACATCTAATACCTCAAAAATAAGGTGTTTAATTTTTTTCCATACATCTTTGTATCGGGCTTCCCCCATGAAATTATTATTTGGTATGATATCCATAAGTTGTGTCGAATTTCATTCAATAACAGCAAAAACTCGAGCATCGCAACGAGATTTACTGAAAAATGAACAACATTTTTCATAAAGCAAATTATCAAATAACTATCATGTGACATGTGTATTTTCGTTCTAATTTCTCAATTTGGTGTAAATTAAACCATTTCTGATCAGAAATGATATTACTAGGTCATCGTTGCTGCTCTTATGAGAAAAACTACAATTCCATCCTACATCCAAACTACATTCGCGACGTTCTTCGGCTTGTCATATGACATTTTAGTTTGGTACTGTAATTTGATAGCTTGTTTTGCAAGTGTCGGATGCAAAGGCAGTCGATTATCGGAGAAAATGTGTCGACTACCGTGACCGTTTACAAGACTATATATAATACTTTTAATTTGCTTGTCAAAAATTCAAAAATTGCTAATTTTTTATCATTGATTGGGAATACTAAGCAGATCAACTTGGTCGATGACCGCTAATTGATTCGACATCTATTTAAAAAGTTATTAAACTTTTATTTTGACCAAGTACTCACCACATACCTACAAGCTCATATATATGCCTGTAGGTATGCACTGAGCAATAGGCCTAAAGTAAAATAATAAAAACTTTTGCACAGAAGTTGAATCAATTCGTAATCTTCGACAAAGTTGTTCTGCATAGAATTCCCAATTTAAATTCAAGATTTGGTCAAAGTTAAGCTAGTTTTGAATTTTTGACAAGCAAATTAATAGTTTTGTTCCCATACGTCCTCGAACAAGTTCGCTATTATCTACACGAAGAAAAATGGATTTTTGTTTCAGGGCCTAATGTATTTTCTTATTGATTCAAACATATTGTATCACTATTTCAACAAAACATATTTTTGAACCTAAAAAATGGTTTTTAGAATCAACAATTGACTCTACAACCGATTTGTTGAATCAAAAATATTTTTCTTTGAATTAACCGAATAATGTATTTGAATCAATACCAAAAATATATTGAGCCTTGAGCCAAAAATATATCCATTTGAATTTAAAAATCATTTCTCTGTGTGTATCATTTAAAGGCCCTCTGCTTGTGTTTCTCAACATCAGCTGTTAGAGCATCTTATTTTTTCTTTGCTCGGGACATAAATCCATTGCGAACAGTGATTTGTAATAGTATTGAAGTACCTATATCCCGTATCCTTAGTTTAGTGCATGCCGCATTGCTCCATCACTATTGAGAAATGATGAAGTACATATTCGGTTTTGTTGGGGTTTCTTCTACTACGCAGCGAAACAAGTAATTCAAGTAACAAGAACAGTTTATTAAAAGGTCTATTCAGCTTGATGGCTTGACAGAGATTGAATAGAATTATAGTTCCAACATCTTCATAGGCTACTATGATAGCTGGCTTCGTTTCTCAACACCCCCTCTCAATCAAGGAATCAATCATTATTGGTCGAAGATCATGGAAACGATTTCTGTCTAACGTTTCGGTGAATAAATCAGCTTCTTGGTCAATCATGGAAATCGGCTTTATCTCAATGGTTCCAGCTGCCAGGTGATCTCTAATGACATGATGTCGAACATAAATGTGTTTTACTCGCAGCATTATTTGCCATCCCGATGCAGCCTCTGTTATCTTCAAATATTGGCACTTCTACTTCTGCTTCAGGTCCTCCAGAACACCACTCAGCCAGATTGCTTCTGAAACCGCTGCACTTAATGCGATGTATTCTGCCTCACTAGATGAAGTTGATACCGTTGCTTGCTTTCGGTTCATCCAAACAACTTAAGAATATAGTCAGGGATTGACTTCCGGTCCACTAAATCCGATGCTCAGTCTGAATAGAAAAATCCCGCAAATGGTTTCAATGATTCAGCTTTCTTGAATAGCAGTCCCATGCTACTGGTACCCTTCAGGTACCGGCGATACGTTTGAGTGATTGCCAATGGTTATCCGTCGGGTTTTGTTGAAATCTTCCCAGGTAACTAATTGGGAAGCACAGATCTGGTCTAACAGTTGTAATCTAATACATCAGGCTTCCAAGAAGTTCCCGATACGGCTCTGCAGTACTCTTTCCTTCATGGTTCAGTTGAAGTGCCTTTTCCATCGGAGTATTCGAAGCATTGCACTCCTTTATCCGGAACCGGTTCAATATTTTGTTCGCATTGACCGTCTGGGATAGTTTGAGCTCATCTGAATTCCGACGATAATCTATTCTCATCCTCAAGAAAAGTTTTGCTTCACCGCAGTCGGACATTTCAAATTCCATGACCAGTCGTCGTTTCAATTTTAGAATGGTCTCGTAGAGGCAGTAATCCCATAGAGGTAACTCTAAGACCAGAAGGTCTCGATGAAACGTGGTCAACTTTTTGGCTCAGCTCTGGTATTATCTGTTTCTTTGGAAACAAAACACGCCGAAAACGACGCAGAAATCGTCGCCATAGGAATTTGTATGGCGATGATTTCTGCGTCGTTTTCGGCGTGTTTTGTTACCAAAGAAACAGATAATACCCTCTTCGGTTCCAAGCTAATCGATTCACCCCTCGAAACGTAGGAAAATCCACGAACCCCTCATTTTATCTGTCAAACTTTCATAGTGAATTAAAACAAATAAAGTGTAGTTATAGAATTTTGACAAAAATAGGATACGTTAATCGATTTGCTTGGGACCAATAGACTAGTCAAGTAGTGAGCCAATTTAAAATCGTTAGTTTTCACCGGTTGGTAGTCCCGCTTTGATCTGGTCAGGCCCAACGTCAACAATACGCCGTTGAGGCGCTCGTTCCAACAACGTGAGGATTGCTTGAGTCCATGTAACGATTTTCGTAACTTGCATTCAGTACTCACTACCTTTTCATTTCATCGGGTACTACCACGTACAGCTTTTCCTTCAGATCGCCCTGAAAAGGGCGGTCTGTACATCCATCTGATGTATATGGAATCCAAATTTCTGACCAAAGCACACTACTGACATCTGGCTCCGTGTTCGCGGGAAATATTTAGCTAAGCCATGAACCCGCATGCAAAAGTTATGAATTGGTTCGTGTCTGATCTATTCTGGATAAATTATTTTTATCTAGATCAATAAATCCTATGGTTTTGACAGTTCGGATCACTACACATTTAAATCTGCCGTTCACGATTATCGGGCATCAGTCAGAATTAAGTGTCATGTCGGTTTGTCGGTGCAGCTACTGCTAGAATCAACCGTACCATAGACAGACTCCCCACAGGAGCATATGTATCTTGAAAATCGATTCCGGGACGCTGCAGAAAGCCTTTCACCACCAGCCGGGCTGTGTGTCGAACCCGTCCGTTTTCATCCTCCTTAAAACAGAATACCCGCTTCGTTTTCAGTGGCCTGGCATCGTTGGGACAGGTCGTCAGCTTCCACACTTCATTTCTGGCCATAGACTCCAGTTCGTCTTGTACCGCCTTATACCAGAGCTCCCGATCATCACGACCTTTGATTTGATTATAGTTTTCAGGAACATCTGAGAGGGAAGAAGAACCAACAACATTCGCTCCGTAACCGGTAAGATAGTCAAGAAACTTACCCGGGAATAGGCACTCCCGTTCGCTGTGAAGTACTGGAAGTATTATGAAAATATTGGTAATTTGCTACACTTCCATTGAAAAACTCAGTTTTGACAAAAAACGCTAATGGGACTGACTCACGTAGGAGTAACTGGTACAGAAACGTGGCCAAAATTCAAAATAATAAAAAATCGAAAGATCCATTTTTTTTCACGGTCAATTGGCAAATCAAAGTTGGCACTCGTGGAGAATAGAAGAACTATAAAAGTGATGATGTTTTCAAAATTTTCCACGGCGAGGTATACAAATGCAATCTTAAAATGCTTTTATTTTGCAAATTGAGCATTTTATTTAATTCTGGTTGCTGCTACAGTTGCAGAAAAGCTGAAACCTATGTCTACACCTAAAAATCTGAAAAGAAATTATTTTTCTATATTATATGCCTATTAAGTAGTCCTTAAGTTTTCTACTAGCGTAGCATTAACCAAAATTAACTAAAATGCTCCATTTGCAAAATAAAAGCATTTTAAGATTGCATTCGTATAGGGTAGAGCGCTACTTCGTCGTAATCGCCCATTTCCGTTC